AATGTTTGTGATGCAGTTGGTAGCAGCCATGGCCGGCCCCCACTGTGTCTCTCAACAGTCCCTCCAAAGGGCTCCAAGGGCCACTGTGGGCGGAGATTCTGGCAGATATGGCGCCTCCATGCAGCCAACCCTGATTTAACCCACGGCACCACACACGGTCCCTTAAGCAGCACCATAGGCCACTCCTGAGCACTGATTCAGAAACAGACCCCAAGCACTGCTGGCGTGACCCCATTGTGATCTAACAAAAAGGTGGATTACGTGTGATAAATGCATTTTTCCTTAACGAAGCAAAAATGTTGATGAGAGGGTTCAGCGCTGATCCAGGCCTCCACCTGAGGGAGCCCAGAAAAAGTAACGCCACACGTGATAGGCCAGATAAAAAGGAACGGATGGCCGGGGCAGACTGGTGTGGCCTTGAGAGGAACCAGGGATGGCCGACACCCCGGGACACAGGCGGCTGAGCGCAGGGCAGGCCCGGGAAGGGGCTGCGGATGTGCTATTGGCATTCCGAGCAGCGGGAAGGCGACGCAGCATCTACGGCACGCTTAAAAATGTCCCAGGAGGGAAAGTCCCAGTCGTGTATGTTCTGTGGGAATAAGGACGTTCCACAAACAAGTTCCAAGGCCCCAGAGCCTGGGCTGTCCCCACGATTCCCATAGCCTCCCCTTGTCCTCAGCTCAGCCACCCGTGTCCTGGTTGCAAGGTCTGGCCTCGCTCTCTCCACCCCAGCCTGCGTCTTCATCTCTGAGCCTCTGGTCACAACACCCCCAGGCCATGGTTTAACCCAGAAGTCACTGTCACAAGGACCCCCCACACCCCCGGGCTGACCCTCTCCCTGGGTTCCCTCCACACACACACATGTACCCAGGCCACACTCCTGTGGCACTGGGACCCGCCAGGGCAGAAGCTGCTTGTTGGAACACAAACCCATGACCAAGTCGAATTGAACCTGCAAACAGGCCTGAAGAGACCTGAGCTCCGAGGCGCACGGCGAGCCTGGTGGCTATCCCTCAGGCTTCACTGTCCACAAGCTACGCCTTAGTGACCTCTGTCTCAGAGAGGGTCTGTCCCTTCTCCTAAGGCCCCCTCAATGGGCTCCCGCTTCCCTGGGGTCCCCCCCTCAGCCTGCTGCTCCTGACTGCCCAGCTGGGTACACTCTGTCCCTCCCTCGGTCACCGAGACTCAGGGATGGGCACCCCCTCCCTCACCCTGCTGACCGGATCCTGTCCGAGAGAGGAGTTCTCCGGGGGTTCAGGAACGGCTGGCTTAGAAGCTGGGTTCATGATGGATGGTCTCCCGATGGGCAATCACGGGTTGAATCCAGGCCGGGCCGACCTCATTCATGCATTACTGACGCCCCCAATCCATCAGCCTCTCAGTGCCTGGACGTGAGCGAAGTCTGGGGACTTGATCAATTACTTCGCAATTATTGACTCAAACGTCCCCAGCCACGGCGGGCTCAGCCACATGCAACCACCGAACTCTGCAGTTCTCGGGGACGGAGTAAAAGGCACAAGGGCCGTCAGGGATGGGCAGCCACGCCAGTCTCTCGCTTCCCTGCAGCTATGCGGAGTGTCGGCAGAGCCCCTCAGACCACGGCTGTCCCTCTGCTCCCTACCACGTCCCTCTGCTCCCCCAGCTGCAGGCCAGCTGCCACCTGATGCATCTTTGGAGGCAGATGTCACAAGGGTCCACAGCAGAGGCCTGAGCTGAGGCCCAGGACGTAAAGGAGCCTGTCTGGGGTCACGGAGCCCCAAAAACTCGAATTCTCAGCCCTGCCTGAGCCTGTGTCCCGCTCACTCTGCCACCCTGGGCCCCACTGCACCCCTCAGTTGCTGTGTTTTGGGGCGAGGGTGACTCAGTACCTGGCCCCCAGGAAGCTCCTCCTCTGGCCCGAGTCCGATCCGACAGCCTCCAACACAGGCCTTTCCTCCTAACACATGCCCGTGACTCTCAGAAGGCCTAAGCATGACCAAGAGGCTTCCAGAACATTCTCTCTCAGAGGTCTGCTCGAAAGACCCTGGTTCCCCCATCACCGTCCTTAAGGCTAATTCCTGATCTCCCCTCGCTGGCCTACAAATGGAGGGTGCCCTGTGTGTAGAGCTCTAACTGAATGCTCTCGTGCTCTCAAGTGCGTCTCATTCTGTGGCCCCCAATAAGGAGAAAAGTTCATAAAACTAAAATCTTTACTACAGAACACACACACACAACATGCATGCCCATGCACAACATACATGCAGAACATGCACGTGCACATACAAAAGATGCATGCACACACACACACACACACAACATGCACGCACACACACAAATGCCCTAGATACAGAATTCTCTGTAACCGTTAATGCACTTTTACTTGTCCCCAAAACCTCATCTGATTTTACCCCCTCCCCCGACTTTACCAATCAGAAAAGGAGGGTTCAGTCAGTGGCACGCCGCTCACCTCCAGAGTCACACGGCGACACCGAGGCTAAGTAGTGACTCCCTCGGGTGCCCCAACTCCACGGGCCAGCGACAGAAGAACAGTCACCGCCGTCATGGGTATGCACCGGTGCAGTCTCCCCACAAACCTCCACGCCAAGCCACTGCATCCTGGACACCCAGATTCCCAAGACCAGGCCGCCTTCCAGCTTCTCGGTCCCCCAGGCCCCCTCCTGGCTGCCCACTGTTCCCCCTTCTGCTGGGCCCACGGCAGGAGCACCCAGCCTGTTCCCCGACCTCCCCAGGCTGCACTGAAACTGCTCCTCGCTCTGCTGAGGAGTGCTCTGGCATCGCCCTGAGCATCCCTGCGTGTGTGCGTGGGTGACAGCAGCAGAGTGAGAGAGGCTGAGGGGCTGGCATGGCCGCTGGGGTCTTACACTGGGGGAGCCTGAGAGGGGCCCGGACACTGGTGCTTCTGCAGAGGCTGCCGAGGCGGACAGAGAAGGGGCTGACCTGGGGAGGGGGTGAGGGGTCCCCGGACACGAGCCGGGCAAGCTGGCAGCAGGGCAGTTGTGGGGGAGGGGGGAATCCTCAGGGCAGAAGGGAAGCCACACGGGGTTCTCCAACATGACCTTGAACTCAGGGCCAAGGTCAGAGGGGGCTTCGGGTGGAGCAATTCCACAGGACCTGAGAAGAAGGACCAGCTCCAAGCACATCACAGTCTGGGAAGAACTGGAGAGAAGAAGGTCCCAGAGGGCGGGCTGTCATCTCTGCCAGGCTGAGCTCCGTTCCTAGGACCCCAGGAGGGTCCCTGCACTAGCTCCTTGTCCTCCGCCCCACAGCAAGGTCCAGCAGGCCTTCCCCTCTAGGTAAGCTCTTCACGGCCAGACCCAAAAGCCACCGCTTATGGGATGCTATGCATGAACACGCCAAGGACCAGCTCGCTGCATCTGCCCCGTCCCTGTCGCCTCCAAAGGGCCCGCTCCGAGGACGGAGGCAAGCAAAGGAGTGATGATTCTTGCCGCACACCACCCTTGAGGAGAATCTCTTCCCTGGAAGGGCCACGTATCCCCAAATTCCCAAGGAGGAGCAAATGCTGTTTCTTATTCCAGAAGGTTCTTCCTTCAGGTGTCTAGAAAGTCCAACTTATCTTTGAGGATGTCCCTGGGGGGTCCGCTTCCTCCTGCCCGCCCCAGCAGGACAGAGCCAGCTCCCTCTCTGTTGTCTAAGGCAGGGCTGCACATCCTCCTCCCGAGTGCCGGGCCCCTGCCAGCTTCAGCCCACGCCTAGGATGCAAAGTAAGCCCCTCGCCGAGGAAAGAGCTGGCACGGCTCTATCTGTGGTCACCTGCCCCGCTGGAAACACACAAACACAGCAGACAGCGAGAGGGAGGCACTGCCTCGCCTGCAGGAGTACAAACTACCGCTGGTCTCAAAGGCATGACACAGAGCCGAGAGATGGCGAACCACACAAGGTCACGGGCTGCACGGCTGCATTCAGATGGCATTCTCGAAATGATAAAATTAGGGACATTGAGAATGGAACAGGGGCGGCTGGGGGGTGGGGCGCAGGGCAGGGGTGCAGCACCTGGCGCTGGCCAGGAGAACTTCAGGGTTCTGCATGCGGACTGCAGGGGCGTTTCCCAGGGGTGGTCTTTCAGCTCCTTTCTGGGGGCTGGAACCCGGGGCCTGCCACAGGCCAGGCTCATCTCCGCGCCTCTGTCCTGCTGGAGAGACTGTGACCTCGCAGCCCGCCCGGGCACACGGGTCAAAGGCATATGGTACCTCTGGTACCAAATGTATATGGTACCAAAGACATATGGTAGATGCATTTTGCAACTTCCTACACAAATCTTTAGTCCTTTAAGAACAGTCCCAGATCTGTTTTGTTTAGCTTGGAGGCCACGCCCAGCGGTGCTCAAGGATCACTGTATGGGGTATCGGAGATGAAACCCAGATGAGCCAGGCGTTCTACCTGCTGTACTGCTTGGCCCAATGGCCGTGGAATCCTTTAAAAACCTGTTCCTCGGGCTCTCTCTGCTTTCCAGCCGAGTGTCCCCACTCAGACGTACACTTCCAGGCCACAATGCTGGGCACATTCAGAAAGCTCCCGCAGACGCAACCCCGTCATCCCAGCCCCACAGCAGCTCCCAGACAGGCCCCTAACCCCGACACACATAATAGGAAGCCCAGACTTGGGGTGGGAAGGGACAGTTCTGCAGGCCCGAGGGGTTTCCAGAGGTGACCCTGGGAGGTACCACGTGCCATAACTCTGCCCTAGCCCCCCTGCGCATCCAGCCCCCCAGCCAGGTGGGCCCCCTTATCGGCAGGTCTGCTCCCCCGGGGTGGGTGGCATGACCAGATGCCCAAGGTGCCCCTTGCCCTTCTCCCAGCACTAAGAACCTGGGAGGCACAGCCCCATGTCCCTGGACGGTGGTGCACGTCTCGCACGCTGGCAGCTTCTGCCACTCTGCCGCCATCTCCCCGTCTCCCGTCTCCTGGGCTTCATTCCGTCACACCCCACCGATCCCAATTAATGATGCTGTGCCAGGGAGGTGAGCAGCGGAAGTGGCTTACCAGATTAGTGAAGATGTATGTGTAATAGGCGGACACCATGCCCAACTCGGCGGCCTGCAGGGGAAGAGAAGCGGCACGTGAGGGCGCCACCAAGACCCGCCGAGGGGGGGGTGCAGGGCTGCCCCTGGGCTCGGGCAGAACCTCCCCAGGGGCCTGGCCCTGCCCTGAGCCTAGATGGGTGGCAGCCCCGTGCCTGTGTTCTGTCCACCTGCACCCGGTGCCCTACAGTGGCTGGTGGTCTGCAGGCAGCCCACAGAGAAGCTCCACCCCACGCGGGGGGTTAGGCAGGGGGCACAGATAACCAGGGACCCCTCCCACCCCAACACCCACAGCAATGAACAGGAATAAGGCTCCGGCGTCTCACTGTTCAGGCTGCACTTGACTTGGTCCACTCGATGTCGTGGGTACCATGAGGGGCAAAGTCAACAGAGTCTCTGAGATGCTAAGGAGCGTGTCACTGACCCCAGTCTCCCCACGGGGAGAGGCGAGAAAAGCCAGGCAGGCAGGCTGCCTTAGAGCTCCTATGTGGACCCCCAGACACAGCCTCTCGGGGGCGCAGCAGCGGGAGCACGGGCGCTGTGACCAGGATGTCATTCAGGGAGAGCCCGCTGGCTCCCCAGGGTCTCGGTGCTCCCGACAGCGGGTTTGATTTTCCTAGTTCCGCAGCCAGCAGCTCCGGGAAGTACCAGGCGGTTCTGGTCCTCAGGAAGGAGCCTGGGGGCGACACTTCTCCCACAAAGCCTGGAGCACTTCAGGCTTCCTTCTTAAAGGCTCCTTCACCAGTGCTTACAGAGCAGCTGGGGGCTGGCCGCGGCCCCCCGGGGGGGGGGATTGGGGGGGGAGATGATGGGCAGAAGGATCCGAGATCCGTAGGCGACAGCGTGGGCGTCGCCCACAGCCCACGGCCACCTCCTTGCATGTCCTCCTCCATTCTAAGGGGACCAGATGGCACGGAAGATGCCCTCAGTGCTGGAGCCGTGCCCTGGCCAGGCTCACAGCTGGGGTGTAGGGGCGGCCCCTGGTCCCCAGGCCTGGGGCGGGGGCCGGAAGGGCACCATCAGATGATTAATACCTAATTTGTGAAATCTGTTGGCGCAAAGATCAAAGACAAGAACTCCTTGGTTTTGCGACCTGAGTTCTGGGTAAACATGGAGTTCGGTGGCAGAACAGCCGCTCAATAAAGTCGGGGATTACCAGGCAAATCCTCCTGAAACCAAGAGGGAGCGGGTTCTGCCGGGCGGGGGCACCCTCAGGCACATGGGGAACTCCTGGCAGCTACCCTACGCTGCTCCCCACCCTGCTTCCCACACGGAGGCACTGCAGCCTCTAGAGACGTCCCCCGTCCTGCCTCTCCCCATGAAGGAGGAGCCCTCGCTCGCTTGCCCAGGATTGCAAGGTGGAAAACGCTCAAACGGGGAGAAAGAGAACTGGCTCCCGGAAGCCTCGAGGGTCCTGAGGGGTCTCGCTCGAGGTCAGCAGCAGATCACCAGCAATGATCTGGTCACGGAGTTTTCCCCAAAGCACAGCCCAGGAAACAGCGCCAAACGCCAGGACGGGCCATCAGGGGCCTGGCCGGGGCACGGCTGGCACCCGCCAAGGTCTTCTCCAACGCGAGAGGCAAACGGTCTCAAAATTCTTAAGAACACACATCTCTTTAACCCAGGCATCCCACGTCTAGAGATTCATGCTGAGGACACATTCACGGAAGCACATGAAAATTTATGTTCCGAGGCTCGCCTGCCAGCACTGTTTACTCGGGCAAAAGATGGAAAAGAACACTCTCACCACCAACCAAGGGGACAGACAGGCTGGGTAAATCACTGGATGGCCACAGGATCAGAAACGTGCTGGTCATTAAAACTTCAGGAGAAAAATATATAATGGCCGAGGGGAAATGCCCAGCCAATTATTCGGTGATTAAAGAAAAAAAAAACGGCAGGTTCTGGAAGAGGCTCTGCAATGTGAAGGCAAGTCTGGGAAATGAGGAAAGGGGCTTGACCCCGGGAGGAAAAGAGAGACGCGGGCACCAGAGAGAGACGGTTCTCTCCAGGGACGGGGGTGTGGACGCATGCACGGTCTTCTCAGTGCTGGGCACTTGCAAAGTTTCCACGACAAACCAGACCTGGCTTTTTTTTTTTTCTGTTTCTGCTTTGAGGAGCCCAGCAGCCAACTCTGGGAAGCACGAGGGATTGATTCCTGGGCTAGGGCTGCCGGCTCGGTGAGGACCGCAGACAGCGGCACACAGCAGCAGGGGCTAGGCGGGCAGCCCCCCGCCCAGGGGGTCTGGCCGGCGACCCAGCCTGGGGACTGCTCTGAGCTCAGCAGAATAGCCCCCCTCGCTCAGATTTCTTGGGCCCTGAAATTCGGGGTTTGCGGGTGGGGAGGGTGCTCCCGGCCTAGGCAGGGGAGAGGGGAGGGAAGAGGGAGCCTGCAGCATCCATGGGCTGAGACGGATGAAGACATACCAAGTGGGTCTGGAGTTCCGGGAATCACTATAGCAACAGGCTGAAGGGCAGTGCTTGGTGCTGAGAGGCCTGTTCAAATCTCTTATTAACTTGGAGACCAAAACTAGCCAGGAGGGGAAGGGAGGGGAGGCGGCACCGTGGTGTTGGGGTCTTGGAGCTCCTGCAGCTTGGCAGAGGTTAACGAGCGGCTGGCCGGCTCCCGTTTAAGAAGACCGTTGTGGGTTTGAATGAGCAATTAACACGTAGTTAGAGAGGCACAGCCTGCAGGGCTGGGGGAGGGGCAGGAGCCGGATGCGCCTGACCCCAGGGGTCATGCCTGGCCCAGCCGGCAGCCCAGGCTCTGGCCCTGGTGCGTGGACCCCTGGTCCCGTGACTTCTCTCTGCCCCCATCTCTCTCGGCCTGGTGTCCTCCCACGATCCCAGTACCTGCCTGCTCTGACAGGCTGCCGCCCGGCCCTGACTCCCCCCAAACACGCTGGCCGCAGGGCTAAGGGACTCAGACAACGGCCCCCTCTGCGCAGGACCATCTCTGTGAGTCTCGGTTTGTCCTGCTAGGGGAAGACGCTGCATGTGGCCTCGGCCAGCCAGCGGGAATGGCGCCATGGAACCATGCAAGGCACTGGGCAAAGCTCCCAGCATGGACACAGCTACCCGCAGGCTGGTCAGAACACGGGCCATCTTCCATCCCACTCGGCAACTGGTCTCTAGGCCCCACCCCAACCCCCCCCAGACCCTGCTGCGTCAGGGCTGGGTCTCATGGCGACCCCCAGCTCTGTGCCCACTCCCAGGGGGCCACCCTCACCTTCAGGAGGATGGTGTGGGACATGGAGGCGTTGGCGTGGATGATGATGGTGGCCGTCTTGTCATCCCGGATCTCCTTGAGTAGCGGGGTGGGGTCCCGGCTGTCGTCTAGCATCCGCACGGAGAGGGTGTCCTTGGAGATGAGGAACTGCCGTAGCAGCTTCTCCAGGTTCAAAAGGCCTGGAGGCGGCGGGGGGAAGCATGGCTGGGTGAGGGTCTCCCACGCAGCCCCCTGTGGGCCACGTGGGGAGGACCCCAGCTGAGGCAAGGCAAGGGCACCCGTGGATCCTGGAGGCTGGCCGGGAAAGGCAATCAGACGGCCTGACTCTGCCGAGGGCCCCCGATGGGCAGGAGGGTGAATCGGGGCAGCTGAGGACCAGGGCGAAGGGCTTGGCCTTGTCTTGGGGGATGCCCGGGGCTGTCCTCTGTAAACCCTTCAGGTCTCAGAGAAGGGCAGAGGCAGGGGTGGGGGTGGGGGCGCATGGCCTGGGGGTCGCGAGGGATGCAGTGGGGGGCGGGGTAGGCTGAGGCGTGTCCCTGGCCTCTCCCACCATGAGGGGGTCCTTGCCCACTTTACCCAGGAGGACACGGAGGTGCCGAGGGCAGCAGGACTCGCCCATGTGGCACTGCAGCTCTTGGCTCCTTGAGCCGGGCCGGGGGGGGGGGGTGCGCAGAGAAGCACCCAGAGGGACTCAGGGAGGGCAGTGCCCGCCCGGCTGCTCCCGTGTGTGAATGAGGTAGGGAACCCCACTCCCCGCTTGCTGGAGGGCTGGATCAGTGATGGGGGAGGGACACTCTGCACCTTAAAGATCAGGAGCAAAGACCTGAATAGTGCAGGAGGGCACAGACGTCAAGTCACTTGGGAGCAGCCGAAGGCTCGGTGGGGCGGCAGCTAGGGGGCGGGGAAGGGGTCACAGCCGGACTTGCTCTGCCAGAGTCTGAGGGGTGGCGGGGGGCTCATGGACTCTGAACACAGGGAAGAGACCCCCAACTCCAAGTCTGCGCTGCCCACGGATGCAGGGTCATGGGGGAGCACCCTGTCCCAGAAAGTCAGGAAGAGATGGAATCTTCTTTATTTTGTTTGGGGGGTGGTGGGCACATTCAGTGGTGCTCAGGGTTCACTCTGGGTGGGCGCGGGAGACCACCTGGGATGGTGGGGATCGAACCTGGGCCCACTGCACGCAGGGCGAGTGTCCTCCCCGCTGGGCTATCACCCTTCTGAGCCTTCTAAGGCTTGTTGCAGGGGAAACAGACTCAGTGGGGGAACGGCTGGACCAGAAACCTCACGCTGTCCAGCCCGGAGGGTCTCGGACTCTGGGAATCACGAGAGGGCCCCTTTAATGTCCGAGGCTGGGCGAGAAGTGCAGGTGCCAGAGGACAGAAGCACCCTGCAGCCTGGCCACTCCATGTCCCGAGGGCTCGGCAAGGCCCGCGGCCACTAGCAGGGGGGTTCACAGTGCTCGCCCCACAGCCGGCGGGACCCCTGGCCTGACCATGACCAGCGAGGCACAGGGGGGCCTGGGAGCCTGTTAGTCTCACCTGGGACTCGGGGTGCCCGGACCCATGCCAGGCCCTGTGGGGGCTCTGCAGGAAGACGGAAGATGAATCTGGCGTGGGGGGGGGAGTAGAGGAGGGGGGTGTCGGGTGGAGTGAGGGGTGAAAGACGCGGCGGGGCTGAGACAGGCCCAGGTGAGGCTGCACAGGCCATGCAGCCAGGGAGCACAACAAAGGGGTGCCACGAGTCTATACCCCCAAATCAAACAAATCACCTGTCCCTACACGCCCCTCCTGTCCCCCAGGCCGTGCTTCCAGAAACAGCAAATGTTCTGGGGGGGCGGGGGGGGGGGGAACCTGCCCAGGGCGGCTGACCTCAGGGCGCTGTGTACCTGCCCCCTGAGTAAGTGTGGGCCCCAGGGGCTATTTTCCAGACCTTTCCATGGAAAGAGGATGATGGTCAGGGGTCAGCAGACCAAGTTCATGACCTCAGAGGATCTGTTTCTGGGGCATGGCCATTCCCCCCGCCCCCGCCCCGCGGGGTTGGGCTCTGCAGACAGGCACGAGCCACTGGACAGGGCCTGGTCTCACCACGGTGATCCCCAAAGGGACCAAGGAGAGGACAGCTGTGGGGGGGGGGTGACTCTCCAGGCATATCATCCTGTCGGGTCCCTTCTGCCCTCTAGCAGGGAGGGAGAGGGCCTTGGGCCCATTTTCTAGACAGAACCAGAGGCGCTGTGGGTGCTGAGCCACTTCCCAAGATCAGAGACAGCACTTCGGAGTAGAGGCACCGGGCCCAGGAACGTGGCCCTGAGCAGCCACTGGAATGCTCAGACACACTCGGGACACACTCGGGCAGGCAGGCGCCTAGAATAGTACCTGCCTTGCACGCGGCCAACCGGGTTCCATCCCCGGCACCCCATCTGGTCGCCGGAGCTCTCCCATGAATGGAACCTGAGCACAGAGCCAAGAGCAATCCTGAGCACTGCCAGGTGTGGCCCAAAGCCCCAAACCATCAAAAGGATGCTGGAGGTGGGGCCTCTGACAGCAGAGTCAGACCTGTGGTCATAGGCACAGTGGCCAGGCCCCTCTCGAGGGCCTCAGGAGGTAGCTATGGGCTGAGGAGCTGGCTCTAAGGGCCGCACATGCACAAAACCTGGATTCAAACCCCAATACCACACAATTCCCTGAGCACTGCCAGCTGTGCCCTTCAACCAACCAACCAACCAACACAAACAAGAAGGCAGCTCTGCACTGAGTGACCCCACAGCCTCAGGGCCAGGCGGTGAGGGACCCCACTTCTCCCAAGGCCCTGCTCAGCAGCCAAGGCCCGGGGAGGTGACCCAGATGGCCTCGGCAGCCCATGGCACGCACAAAGCCCTCTTGTTTCCCCATTAAAGCAAACGGATGCGGCCCGCGACACAGCCCGGCCGCCCAGCCCTGCTGTTTAAAAATCCACTTTGGGGCAGCAGCGGAGTGAGCGGCGCGATTCCCCGCGGAATGCGCTCATCTGCGCCTAATTGTTGGCGGCTGGAAAACAGAATTCAGTTCTGGGCGCCCTGAGAGCCTCTGCCCCCACCGTCCTTGCCTCGCTGCCTTGTCCTTGTCCTCTGCCTGGGCTGTTAATCCTCTCTGCCCTCCAGCTGCTCAGCCCTCCCCCTCGCCCCCCCCCCCCGACCCCCGGGCCAGCAGGGGGAGCCCCGAGTCCCCGCTGCTGGAGGAGGAGGCCAGGACAGGGCAGGCAGCCTCTCGGGCTCTTCAGCCACCTGGTCTCAGGACCCTGCGGTGTCGTCTGCCGCAGGCGCGAGGGGCCGGGCTGCTCTTCTGCTTCACTGCTCCTGCCGGACAAGACGGGCCTGGGGTGTCCGGGCTTTTCCTCGCACCCTGGCCCGAGTCCCTCACAGCTCTACGACTTGCTTCCCTCCGCCCTGGAATGTCTGGGGTGGGGGCCGAGGAGATGGGACAGCTCAAAGCATCCCGTGGGGCTCCCACACCTCCACGCTGACTCCCCCAGGCCCAGGAAGGGCAGGAGAAAGCGCAGCAGACCCAGGGAACAGCCTCCCGGGCAGGCTGGGGACAGACGCCGTGCCTGCTTGCAGAGGGCTCCATGCCCACAGCCATGTCCCTCTGGGCAGGCCTGCCCGCTCCCAGCAGCGGGATCTCCGGCTGCCCCATCACACTGCAGCCAGAAGCTGCCACGGGCGTGGGGCAATGGTGTGGCCTGACTTTCCTGTCACACCTGGCTGAGCCACGCAGATGCTGTGAGAGCAGTCTTGGGGCAGAAAGTCCGGCCCGTCTGCCCTGTCCAGGGAAATCCTTCTCTGGCCAGAGCCCAGCCCAGTGGCCCCGACTCCCGGGTGCTGCCCAGTCCCCATGCAGGGGGTGAGATGAGGTGCTCACGGAACGCTCGTCTGCAGTGCCGAGTGGGGGACCTCTCCCTGACGAAGGAGGACCCGCATCCACGCTGCCCACAGGCAGTGGTCAGCCCCACACACGTGTCCCGTGGAGTCTACGCTTTCTGTGACTGGCTGTTAGTTGTGGGGCTGCAGCCACACAGGTCGGGGTGCTGGGGACGAGACCCGGGCCCCTGCACGCGACCTGCCACCTTGACCGTGGGGTCCAGGGCCTGGGGAGCCAGCTCAGAGGGCTGGAAGGGCCCGACTCACGTGCACGAGCTCCCACCGAGCTCACCCCTGGCCCCACGTCCCTCTTTCCAGCCCTGCCAGGAGTGGTGGCCTGGCACAGCTCGGTCTGAGCTGGATCAGGGCGTGGCCCTGAGCTGGACTGTCCAGTTTGCTTGAGGACTGCTTGTTCTCCCAGAGAACTGCAGGGCTGGGGGGGTTAACAAGAGGTGTTGGGGGTTGCCACATGGCCTAGTGCGCATGGAGGCTGCAAGGGGTAAAGGAGGAAAAAGCCCACTTTGTCAGGACGCTGCTATCGGATTGGCAGGCCGGCAGAGTGATCTGTTCGTGGACAAATGAGAGCTGACCTGGGCAGCGGGGGCGGGGTCAGCTGGGGAGGATGGTTCTGTGGTCGAAGGTGGGTGTCACGTGGGCAGAGCTGCAGGGAGCCAGGGCTGACAGGGAGAAACAGTGCCCCGTGCCCCTCTGCCTGCGCAAGACTCGCTGCATGGATACCCAGGCCTGGTGCTTGGCACTGGGCCCCAAAGGTAGCCCGAGGCCTCCACCTGGCCGGTCACCTGTGCAGACACAGCTGCCACCTGGCGCCCTCAGAGGCACAGATGTGCCGGGCAGTGCAGGGCTTAAACTTGCCAAACCTCATAAACACTAAATTCATGTTGCAATTGGAGAGTTGGAGAAAACACATTTGCAAAAACTGCATTTGCAAAAAAAAAAAAAAAACCAACAAAAACAATCGCTTCACCAGAAATTGACCTCGGGCCTTGTTCCATCAGCAGCGCCCACTCTCCAGGGAGAGGGGCTCTCCACCAGCCAACACAAACAGCCGTCTCCACTCCCCCACCCCCGCGCTCCCCTCTTGCCGAGTAGCTCCTGAATGGTGAGGCTGAAAACGTGGGACTCGAGTTTGCAGATGCGAGACAGCCTTGGCGCGAGCCGGTCCCCCTGGAACCCGGCTCCCTCGAGGAGGAAGGCCCCCAGCCCCTCCCCCTCTGGGCCCGGCCCGCCCTCCAGCGCCGCTCACATTCTGCTTTGGCGCAGATGAGGCAGGCGGTGGTGCAGTTGAAGAAGCGGAGGATGCCGGCCACTGCCACGCTGATGTCCGTGTTGCTGGGGTGCAGGTTCAGGGTCGTGAACCTCTGGAACTGGAACTTGATGAACTCCTCGGGGGCCACTCTGAAATGAGGGACCTGGGGGGAGGAGCGAGAACGGGCAGTGGTGGGCACAGAGTGAGCGAGAGAGGAAGCAGCAGTCACACGGGGTGGGGGAAGGGTGCGGGGGCTCCACTCCGCTCTGCTGGGGTGGGGGAGGGACAGGGCATGGGCCCTCTGCTCTGCTGGGCCAGGGGAACAATAAGGCATGGCATGGGGCCTGCCACCAGGGAAGCCCCAAGAGGGCCGTGCCAGGCACTCAGCTGGACAGGCACATGCATGTATGGCCAGGCCAGGCCCAGGGCACATCTGCACGCGTGAGGCCTGGGTTGGATGCCTGGTGCTGCCAAGACACATATCTGTCCTCGTCACTGGTAGCTCACTCAGAGAGCAGAGAAACGGCTGTGACCTCTGACCCCACTGACCCACACGCTCCGCACACCTCTCCTGGGTAGAGCCCTGGGGCGGTTTCTTCCGGAGATGTGGATGGGGTGGGGAACACTGCGGGTGATCCTACTCTGGTGTCCGGACAGTTCCAGCTTCTCGCCGCCTGTTCCTGACGTGTTGGGCAGCACCGACCCTCCCCGGGAAGAGAGGTGAACAGACTGACGGCCGCCTTCCAGGAGAGTGGGGTGAGGTGGGTCAGGGACCACCACCCTCTCTGACTTCGTCACCCTCATCTCCAAGGCCGCCTGGCATCTCTGGGCCAATCGCAAGCCCTCTCCTGCCCTACGCAGAGGTCGAGACAGCCAAGGGGGCAAGCAAGGACCGGGCCTTGGGCAAGCACCGGAGGGTCAGAGAGCCGAGCAGGGGGCCTTCCCAGGACAGGCGTGGGCGGCCTCCCAGACCTGCGCATTCCCACGAAGGCCTGGGCACCAGCCCCGGAGACTGAGCCCAGCCCGGTGCTCTCCACGGTGCTAGACGGGGACTCCAGGAGAACCCAGAGGGAGCTTCCTGCCCCTCAAGGATCAGCCCTGGGAGGGGTTCAGGGGACACGTTAGCTCAGCAGGGAAGAGCAGAGCAGGGGGGAACTGGGGAGGAGAGACCAAGGAGCAAAGCCAGCCTGCGCGCAGGGGGCGGGAGGGTGTCCTGTGGGGTCAGGAGGGGGGCTTCCTGTGGGGTTGGGGGACTTCCTGTGGGGTCGAGGGGCTTCCTGTGGGGTCAGGGGATTCCTCTGGGGTCAGGGGGCTTCCTGTGGGGTCGGGGGGCTTCGTGTGGGGTCACGGGGGCTTTCTGTGGGGTCAAGTGGACTTCCTGTCGGATCAGGAGACTTCTTATGGGGTCTGGGGACGTCCTATGGGGTCAGGGGGACTTCCAGTGGAGTCGGGGGCCTTCCTGTGGAATCGGGGGACTTCCTATGGGGTCAGAGGGGCTTCCTATGGGGTCAGCGGGGCTTCCTCTCTGGTCAGGGGGTTTCCTCTGGGGTCAGGAGGCTTCCTGTGGGGTCATCCTGCTGCTACGGCGTGCAGCCCACCCGTCTCACAGGGGCACAGTGGGCGTCTCCCCACCCCAGCAGCTCCCTCCGACTCGTCCTCTTGCGCCCTGAGACCTCCAGAACCAGAGGGGACAGGGGAAAGGCTGGGGAAGGTGTGGACAAAGGAGGCCAAGAGCCCACCCACTTGGGTTTGCTCCCGGCTGTGGGAGTGACCAGTGGCCAGTGCTCAGCCTCTGGGCGAGCAGGCCCCGAGGTCCTTGCCCGTGCCCCTTCTCTGCTCGCCTGCTCTCCACGACACAGAGCCTCGGGTCTGGTCTGTGCCCTCAGAAAGGGGCGTTGGTGGGAGTCCCCAGAAGAGCTTCTGCTGTGGCCACGCCCGCTGGCAGCCCTGCTGGGACCAAGCGAGACCCAGGGAGGCTCTGAGGTGTTGAGGGGTGGTGGCTGACCACCACCCCGAGCCCCAGAGTGAGCACGGGGGAAGGACTTGCCAGGGAGCAGCTCCGGGAGAGGAAGGAGGAAGCACCGTGAGGAAGAATGCTTAGGACGATGAGGCAGCCAAGGATCCCGGAATCGCCTTGTTCTCTGTCCCCTGAAACCTCCTGGCAGGCTGCACGCGCCCCACTCCCGACACCCAGATCCGGGGGCCGCCCTTGAGACCCCCAGCCCTGACACCCGCCTGGAAAATCAGACCTGTGGCCCCTCCTCCAGGGGGCCCTGGGAGACTGTTCAGGGAGGACACCAGGAGCACAAGCCCCGAGCCCCGGGGAGGCCCCTTCTGCCAGGCCCAGGCCAGCCCTGCACCCAGCCTGCCCCCCCACAAATCGTGCCCTTCCTGCCCCCCACTCACCTCCTTCTCCCCGCAGATGTTGCTGATGATGGAGCTGGAGGCCGGGCTGGAAGAGGGCCCCAGGACCGCGACCACCCCCTTGGGGAGTATCTGACACACTGCATATGGGGGAGGACAAACAAGATGCGTGTCAGAGGAACCCCAGCATGGCCCGAGACCCCAGTCTTCCCTCTGTGCCCGTCTCCCCTGGGTCTGAGGCCACAGGACACCACAGGAGGCCACGGAAGGCGCGGGTCCAGGGTCCCCAAGGCCAAGGCAGCCTGGACCCTGCAGCCCCACCCCCCCGCCCAGACACGGGGGTGTGCACTGAGCCACATAACAGTCACCAGGGCACCCTTGGTCAGCCCCCACCCCCTTCAAGCATGTGGAAACAGACAGACAGACGGACAGACAGGGCCAAGGGCCAGCAAGTATGACCACGTGGAGGACAGAAAGTGGTTGAGAGAAAGGAGAGTGTGCAGGGGGCAGGGGGGTCCCAGCTCTCATAGATACTCCCGTCCCTATTGCCCACCCCGGCCAGCAACCTCCCGTCCCTGCGAGGCCAGAGGCACCTCTCTCCAGAGGCTTTCCAAGCTCACGTGTCACCCAGGGGCGCTGAGCCCCGTTTCCAGGGTACGGGGTAGAACTGGGCAGGGGCCCGGCCAGGGAGGTGGCGCGCAGGGGCAGAGGGTTTTCAGACGCAAAGTCTCGGAAGGGAGGGCAGGGCTGGGAGGAGAGAGTCTGGGGTACCTTGCAGGCTCACGCTGCACCCACAGGACAAGGGGCCAGCCATGCCACTCCCTGCTTCCTGGAGCACAGGACTGTGGAGGTGTCAAACGCACAGTGAGATCTGAACTCGTCTCCCAGGGACATGTTTTTCCCAGGCTGGGAAACCGAGGACACAGAGTGAAACTCAGGAAAGCCACTCCTGACCCTGGGGTGCCTCTTCCGGGCTCACTCCTAACCAGGACCCCACACCTGGCAGGTGCCCTAAGAGGGGGTGCAGGCACAGGGCAGAGCTCCAGGCTTCACCCCTGCCCCACCCTGCACCGAGGGTGTTACCGGAAGGACCATCTCCCCCACGGCGGATTCCAGTAATGCTCCCTGCAACCCTGCAGCATGACTGATGCGGGAATGGAGGGACAGAACCATCCCCAGAAGATTCTCCAAAGCTCCAGCTATTTCCCTGGAAGTCACCTCCAGGGCCTCAGCCGGTGAACTTCCTCCCAACCAGGGATCCGTCAGCACCGCAGAAGCGGAGCCCCATAGAGGTCTGAGGAAGGGCAGAGACCTCAACGCAGCCCCCGGGGAGCAGAGGCCTGAGAGCCTGGACCGGGGGGAAGGGAGGAGTCAGCATCCAAACCGCACTCACAGGACCGGGGGTCCCGCGCAGCACCAGGGCCGTTTATGTGAGGACCCGGAGAGAAAGGATCTAGAACCGCATGGAAACTACCCCAAAGCTGAGGACGGCTGGAGGGACGGCATGAAGGCCGCCACCGTGGGGGTCTGGTTCTGGCCCCACCCCCGTGTGCTGCAGACTGACTTCACGCAGAGAGCAAGCTGATGGGCAGCCACGACCGTCACCCCCACTGTGCAGAGGGGAAACGCCCAGGAAATGGAAAGAGCAGACCCTGAATCCAAAGCCTCAGGCTGACGCCCCTCTGTCTGGGCTGACCTCCCCTGACTGGGCTGACGCCCCTCTGTCCGGGCGGACGTCCTCTGTCCGGGCTGATGTCCCTCTGTCCGGGCTTATGGCCCTCTGTCTGGGCTGAACTCCCCTGTCTGGGCTGACGTCCCTCTGTCTGGACTGATGTCCCGTCTGGGTTGTCCTCCCCTCTGCCTCAGGCACAACTGGGGGTTCAGAGAGATAATGTTTGGCCAGTTCCTTTCTAGAAAATCATGCATTCCCTTCATAACGTGGCAAGATAAAAAATGAAATGTCCTGATAGAAAAGACCTTCCTCTGATGAGCAAGTGAAGCCCCGAGCACCTGCACTCCGCAGGGTCCTGCCCCAGTCCACGGCCCTCCTTCATCCCCTGCCCGCCCCCACCCCCAGCCGACTCTCCACATGCTCTGCTGTCTGTCTATACCAGGGGCCAACCCCATGCTCCAGGGGACAGTCTGGTTGGGGGTCAGTGGGGGATCATGAGGACACCCTCATTTTCTCTGACCCCAACTAGAAACGCAGCATCCCCTTCTGGGTGAGAAGGCAGCGATCCAACACTAGTGACCAGTGGCTGGCCACAGACAGTCCCCCTGAGTGACTCCATCCCCACGGCAGCCCAGCGAACACCCTGTTCACGTCCATAATCACTTAGAAATTACACGAGGACCTGATGTCAGACTAGCTATTTAATGTATTAACAGAGCGCCACGTGAATTAATACAGTGCTGTTAAAATAGTTTAACTACATTTCCATGTAATTGGTTTCCTTGGTCATCCTGTTTCATTTTATCCATTTAGAAATAGACTCGTCCGGGGCCAGAGAGATAGGACAGGGGGGAGGGTGCTAGCTTTTCATGTGGCTGACGCAGGTTTGATCCCGCCATCCTGCAGGGCCGCCTGAGCATGCCCAGAAGTGATTTTCAGGCACAGAGCCAAGAGGCAGCCCCGAGCAAACAAAGTCGGGTGTGGACCCCCAAACAAACAAAAAGTCTAAAAATACCTGCCTAAAAAGTTCATTACACGGGGCTGGAGCGATAGCACAGCGGGTAGGGCGTCTGCCTTGCACACGGCCAACCTGGGTTCAATTCCCAGCATCCCATATGGTCCCCTGAGCACCGCCAGAAGTAACTTCTGAGTGCAGAGCCAGGAGTAAACCCTGTGTATTGCCAGGTGTGACCCAAAAAGAAAAAAAAAAGTTCATTACACACTCCCCCACTATGAGTGGTTCTTAAGCTACTCACACCTGCAGACTAGTGAAAATCGAAGAAATATTTTTCAGACTGCTCAGGCAGAAATGAAAAGCATTACTTACATTATTGCACACATAAATGTCTACAGTATTTATAATAGGGACACTACATGGTCCCCGTACACTGTGGGAACGCTGCGATAATTTTGCAGAGACTGGCAGAAAATTTCTGGCGACCAGCTCCAATCTGTGGATATGCAGCTGTAAACCACCGCCACAGCCTTCGCCGAGGCCCGCCTCCGATCTTTCCACCTGGCGGACTCCTACTCACCCTCCAGCACCCATTCAGTGCCTGTCCCTCAGCAGGAAACTCCCCCTCTCCCTCCCTCTGCTTGCAGGATGCTCTGGCAGCGTCCACGTTACTCTCCAGCTGCCCAAGAGGGTCAGTCTCCAGAGCCTCTCAATGCCGACCAGCTTCTGCCCCAAGCTGGCTCACTGTGCGAGGTCACACGGAAGCATCTCCCACAAAAGCTTCTTACAGAAAGTCACAAGCCCCCCACTCCCAGCGCCAGAGTCCCAAAGGTGCTCAGAACGATGTCTTCCATTCAGTGCAGAGCAAAATCCAAACACACAGATATAATACGGTGTAATGAGAGAATCCGAATGGAATGGTAGGGGGTGAGAAAAGAGAGTGGGGGTGGGGTCTTTGTGTGACCGAATGTGTGTGTGTGTGTACATGTGGTATTTCGTTGTGACTATCTCAACAACAGAAGTGTGTGTGTGTGTGTGTGTTGTGTGTCTGAACGGTGTTTGAACGTGTGTGTGAATGGGTATGGTATTTTTTCTTGTGTGACCATCTGTGTGTGGTGTCCCTGTGTGACTATCTGAATGGAAGTGTGTGTGTGTGTGTGTGTGTGTGTGTAGTGGGGTGTTCTTGTGTGACTATCTGAACTGTGCATGTGCGGTGTTCCTATGTGATTATCTAATTAGAAGTGCGGTATTCCTGTGTGATGATCTAACTGGAAGTGTGTGTATTATTCTTGTGTGATTATCTGAAGTTTGTGTGTGTGTGTGTGTGTGTGGTATTCTTGTGTGAGTATCTAAATGGAAGCATGTGTGTGTGTGTGTGTGTGTGTGTGTGTGTATCAGGTCCCTGTGTGCCTGAGTGTCGATGTCTTGTGTGTGTGAACATGGAGCTTGGCCCAGCCCCTCTGCAGGGTCTGCTGAATGCAGGCAGTAGGTGCCATGGGGACTTCTCCATATCGGAAAAGTTCTGGATTCTAAGAGCCTCCGGCCGCTAGCACTTGTGTCCCTGTCTCCATCTTCCTCTCTGGACTGGAACCCCTGAGGGCAGTGGTCAGGTCTGGCCAGTCCTGGCGTGAGGATTCACTCAGCAAGTGCTCTGTCAATGGAATGGAAGTAACTGCAAATGAGCCCAGCAACAGTGGGACCATCGTCCCTGATGCTGTGGCCAGGGTGTCAGGGAATCTGGACACGGGTCTTCTGCTTCCTTCGAGGGTGGTCATTTCCACGGGGGCTTGGCTGGGGCGTGTCTGTGAGCCCCTCCGAGTGGCTGTGGGTCTGCGTGAGGGGCGGGTGGAGGGAGGTGCCTTCCTCCCTGCTCCCAGGGAGCTGGGCTGGGAGTGACGTCGCCATGACAACCCAGTTTTCCAGCCTGCCGAGGGGCTGGAAGGCGAGTTGTCGAGCAGCTGCTGGATGCACCCCACACTGCGGGCTCGGCCCCTCCCGTGACGGCGGCAGAGGGCGCCTCAGAGGTTGGGCTGGACACAGACGCCTTCCCTCTCCAGTTCTCCCAGGGAAATGGTCTGGCTGTGGCATGGTGAGGGGTCCTGGGTGGCCTGCAGGCAGCTTCGTGGAGGCGGGGGGAGCAGCTGATCCTTGGTGGGTCTCTGAGCACGGGGGCCCACAGCCAGCCACGGGGAACTGGACGTGAGTCGGAGCAGACGGTCTGGGAAGATGGGGCGTGCTCCACATCCAACTGTTCCCGGCACTGCGGCCCGCGTGGAGCAGGAGGGCCAGGTCTGTGCCAGCAGCACCGTCCGCCCTGTGCCCAGCACAGGCCTGGCCTGCCAGGAGCTGGCCCGGAAGCGGCCCTCACTCAGACGCAACCTCCAGCTGGATGCCAGGCACCACGGAGCTGGGTCGGAGCACTCCAAACCCTCAGCCGGGCGAGGACAGTCTCCACAGCCCCCCACAGGCAGGCAACGAGCTGCTCCCCAAACCCTCCAGCATCTGCACCCCCCCGTCCCTCCCAGCATGGGCACCACGGCCCCCGCTGTCCCCTTCTACTGCCCCTCCCACTCCCACTGTCCACAGCCACCCCGTCTGCCTCACCAGCCCACGCCCGGCCTTTTGGGACTTGGAGCATGGTGGACTCGTGTGACTCCTGGGGCCCCGCTAAGGACTCCCCCGAGGCCTGAGTGCAAAAGCCGGAAGAGAAGCCCCATGGGAAGGAGCCCTCAGCCCGAGCCATACGCACTGCACCCACCCGCACCTGGCCTCCCGGAGTCCCTTTCTTCTCTCCACACGTCACACACACACAAGGTCCAGCCCTGTGGCCTCACCTACTCCCCAGCCTGTCCTGGGCCCCCGCTTTGACTTGCTCTGGCCTTCACGAGCCCAAAGAGCTACTCTGAGCTTTCATTGCATCCCAGGAAAAAAAAAAGGGGGGCCTGCCTCAGTTTCCCCACCTGCACATGAGAAGATCACACCAGACCGTTTCTGGGGACTGTAACTTAGGGTGCAGGTGGGATGCAGGCAGGACATTCAGAGCTGGGGCATGAGGGGAGTGGCCGCTACCTCTCCTCCCTCACCTCCTTCCTCCCACGGGCCCCTTGCCTTCCCCCGGGCTCATTCATGGGGCTGGGGGAGATGCCCCCAGGAGGCTCCAAGTCACAAAGAGAGAGAGTGTGTGTGTGTGTGTGTGTGTGTGTGTGGTGCACGCGTGTGTATGTGTACGTGTGTGAGAGTGTGTGTGTGTGTGTGTGTGGGGTGCACGCGTGTGTGTACGTGTGTGAGAGAGTGTGTGTGTGTGTGTGTACGTGTGTGAGTGAGTGTGTGTGTGTGTGTGTGTGTGTGTGTGCTGGGGTTGGATCTGGGGGACCCGGCATGGTGCTGGCGGCAAGGCTGGGCCGAGGCTCCCGCTTCCAGTTGGGCAGTAAATTAAACTGCAAACAGGCTCTGGCAGCAGCGGGCACTGCGCCTCAGGGTGTCTGGGCGAGAGAGGGTGGGTGCTCAGTTAAGCTCTGATAGCGAGGCTCAAGGGAGCGGAGAGGGCCCAGCGCCCTGTGGGAGAGCAGCCGTGGGGGTGAGAGCCGAGGGCAGGCGGTGGGGGGGGGCTCTCGGGGCTGGGCCTGCCTCTGCTTTCAGAGAAACGCGCGGCACATCAAGAGGCCAGAAGCAGTGCCAGGGAAGGGGCGGAGACGGAGATGTGGCGTGGGCAACGCCTGGAAGGGAGGGGACGGAGAAGGTGGCGCCCTCACTGGACGCAGACCCGCTTCAGGACGGCTCTGGGTGTCCTGGCTTGCTCTTCAGCGCTGCCCGAGTGGGGCGGGCGCACGTGCCCCTGCCAGCCTCATTCTACAGCACCTGAGTCTGGCGTGCAGTGTCCTGGGCAGCTGCATACCTCACTGTCCTTAATTCTGCACTAGCCGCTGTCCCGAGGACTCCCGTGTCTGCCTGCGGGGCCCCTGGAACATGCCAGAGAAGGCCCAGTGCGTGCAGGGCTGGTAACCCAACGGGGCTGGGGCTCCGCCTTCTGATCACGGGCGGCGGCCGAGGCTCACGGTGGTCCTTGAAGCAGGACCCCCGCCCAGGACCTGGTAGGGATACTATAGAAGTCCAGGATCCCAAAGAAGCCCAACCAACTTTTGGGGGGCAGGTACTGTGTTTGGCCACAGCTGGCAGTGCTCAGGACTCACTCCTGGCTCTCGCTCAGGAGTCACTGCTGGCAGGGTGGGGGGGCAGGGTGGGGTCAAGTCCCCGAGGGCTGTGCCTGAGGCAAACGCCCGGGCCCCTGTGCTCTCTCCAGCCCGTGTGGGGTTTGGTTTTGTTTGTTTTTAAAGACATGGCTTTCGGTGAGATGCAGCCCGTGGTGCGGCCTGGCGGGCTCAGGGCTACCACATGCCTCCTGGCCCTGCTCAGGAGGGCCAGCAGGGTGGCAGGAACGAGAGGGGCCTGTGCGGGCCCCAGTGCCATCACCCAAGCTCACCCCCTCCAGGGGCTTTCCGTGGCGATGCCAGGCCCTGGTCAGGAGAGGCAGCGTGGAACTGGACAGCCGCTGCTTCTTTGGGAGTCCCCTCCCCACCCAAAGCCTACAGGCCTGAAGCCGCCAGCTGCAGGGGGCCCTGACGGTGGCCAAGGAAGTGGACGGGGGCCAGGCAGTGGACTGCTGCTCACTGCCCGCCAGCGTGCGGATGTCAGCCAGACGGGTGGTGAAGGCGGTGAGTCTGGAGTGCAGGACACTCCTGAGCCCTCAGCGAGGGCTGAGTCTCCTCTGTATGGTGGGGGAGGGGGTCGTCCCTGACCTCTTGTGCTGGGCCTCGGGGTAGGGAGAGGCACATGGAACAGAGTGAGGCTCAGATCTGGAACCCCCGGGGCGCCACCCACAGCTCCTGCAGCCAGATAGGGAACCCGAGGTCCGACTGGAAGAGGAAAACCAAGGTCCGACAGGAAGAGGAAAACCAAGGTCCAACAGGAAGAGGGAAACTGAGGTCCAACAGGAAGAGGGAAACCGAGGTCCGACAGCAAGAGGGAAACCGGGGTCCAACAGGAAGAGGGAAACCGAGGTCCGAGAGGAAGAGGGAATACAAGGTCCAACAGGAAGAGGGAATCCAAGGTCCAACAGGAAGAGGGAAACTGAGGTCCGACAGGAAGAGGGAATCCGAGGTCCGACAGGAAGAGGAAAACCAAGGTCCGACAGGAAGAGGGAAACCGAGGTTCGAGAGGAAGAGGGAATACAAGGTCCAACAGGAAGAGGGAAACTGAGGTTCGACAGGAAGAGGGAATCCGAGGTCCGACAGGAAGAGGGAAACGAGGTTCGACAGGAAGAGGGAATCCGAGGTCCGACAGGAAGAGGGAAACTGAGGTTTGACAGGAAGAGGGAATCCGAGGTCCAACAGGAAGAGGGAATCCAAGGTCCAACAGGAAGAGGGAATCCAAGGTCCAACAGGAAGAGGAAAACCGAGGTCCGAGAGGAAGAGGGAATCCAAGGTCCAACAGGAAGAGGGAAACCGAGGTCCGAGAGGAAGAGGGAATCCAAGGTCCAACAGGAAGAGGGAAACCGAGGTCCGACAGGAAGAGGGAATCCAAGGTCTGACAGGAAGAGGAAAACTGAGGTTCGACAGGAAGAGGGAAACCAAGGTCCGAGAGGAAAAGGGAATCCAAGGTCCAACAGGAAGAGGGAAACTGAGGTTCAACATGAAGAGGGAAACCGAGGTCCGACAGGAAGAGGGAACCCGAGGTCCGACAGGAAGAGGAAAACCGAGGTTCGACAGGAAGAGGGAAACCGAGGTTCGAGAGGAAGAGGGAAACCGAGGTCCGAGAGGAAGAGGGAAACTGAGGTTCGACAGGAAGAGGGAAACTGAGGTCCAACAGGAAGAGGGAACCCGAGGTCCGACAGGAAGAGGAAAACCAGAGGTTCGACAGGAAGAGGGAAACCGAGGTCTGAGAGGAAGAGAGAATCCGAGGTCCGACAGGAAGAGGGAAACTGAGGTTTGACAGGAAGAGGGAATCCGAGGTCCAACAGGAAGAGGGAATCCAAGGTCCAACAGGAAGAGGGAATCCAAGGTCCAACAGGAAGAGGAAAACCGAGGTCCGAGAGGAAGAGGGAATCCAAGGTCCAACAGGAAGAGGGAAACCGAGGTCCAAGAGGAAGAGGGAATCCAAGGTCCAACAGGAAGAGGGAACTCGAGGTCCGACAGGAAGAGGAAAACCGAGGTCCAACAGGAAGAGGGAAACCGAGGTTCGACAGGAAGAGGGAAACTGAGGTCCGACAGGAAGAGGGAACCCGAGGTCCGACAGGAAGAGGAAAACCGAGGTTCGACAGGTAGAGGGAAACCGAGGTCCGAGAAGAAGAGGGAAACCGAGGTCCGAGAGGAAGAGGGCTCCATCCCAGGGGACCCCCGGGGCGTGCTGTTTCCTCCCACAATCCAGCCCTGGGCACGAGGAAGGGCCCAGCAGCGCCCCGGGCTGCCCGAGCACACCTGGGGCCCTTTGTGGTGGCGACAGGCAGGGAGTGCGGGTGGGCCGGTCAGAGAGGCAGAGGGCGGGCACGAGGTCAGATGCTGGGGCCCCCACAGGGCTCAGCCTGAGACTGCTGGGTGTGGCGCTGTAACAGCAGCACAGAGAGCCGAAACCCTACGGCTCACAAGGACGGGCGCCCACTGTGCCTCCAGATCACGGATGCCACAGAGACACTCCCACGGACTGAGCGACAGCTCCTCAGGGAGGGGGTCTGCCTTGCAGGCGGCCCACGGCTCCATCCTGGCACCCTAGAAGGTCCCTGGAGCCCACCAGGAGGGAGCCAGATCCCCGCTGGGCGGGTCCCTAGGCTCCCCAGCCCCCCCAACCACAGGTGTGGGGGAGCAGACAAAGCTGCTCCCTCCTTCTACCCGCCCCCAGACCACGTGGAGGTTGACAGGCCCCTCCAGAGCCACCCCCCCACCCACCCCTCCACGCTGGTCGCTTGGGTCCCAGCCCTCGGGAGCGGGTGGCCCGGCCCGTGCTACCTACTGGTCTCCGCCGTTTCGTACTCGCTGTCTCGGAGGAGCTCGAAGATGTCCACCTCGACCTTGGCCTTGCCCAGCCTCTCGGGAGCGCGGTTGATGCGGTTCTTGGCCAGCGTGATGGACAGCCGCTCCCCTCGGCTGCACTCCATGGGGTCGTCCAGGATGGCAGCTGCAGGCAGCAAGCAGAGGGGGCCAGTGAGTCCTCTGCCTTGGCCGCACCGTCCCCAGGGGCCATTCTCTGCATGCCAGGGGCCGCGTTGGAGCCCCGATTCCAGGGTGGAGAACCTGCGCGGGACCTCTCTGATGCCAGAGCACCAGGGGTCTTCTGTGCGTAAGACCGCACACCCAGGCCAACGGCTCCAGGAGACCCAGGCTACAGGCACTCAGGCAGCTGTGCATGAAGAAAGCGAGCTGTGTGCAAAAGGAGTGAGCCATGTGCAAAGGAAGCGAATCATATGCGGAAGAGAGCCGTGTGCAGAGGAGGTGAGCCGTGTGCAATGGAAGTGAGCTGTGTGCAATGGAAAAGCAAGGGGGCCTGTCCTTGCAAAATGGCACTCTGAGCTGGGGAGATTCTCCCCTGGGAGACACCGAGAGGGCCCAAGGCGCCAGCCTGAGCGATGCCCAGGCTCGGACACTAGGAGCCAGGCCATCTCAGGGGCTAGTTCCTTCTCTGCACCAATCTTTTCCTGCCTGGACGTTCAGACAGTGAGACAGGGCGGGCATGGGGAGTCAGTGGTGAGTGCAGGCAGCTGGCCTGTCATGCACAGGCGTGGCCATTTGGACTTCGAGAGGACGAGCACCCCACGGGGTCCGTGCTCCAGGGGCACCATGGGATTCAGCTCGTGGCATCACAGACTGGGGAGTCCGTCCCCACGCCGCCTCCCAGCCAGGGGGCCCGTTTCTCCACCGGCTGAGGAGGACAAAGACAGCTGCTGCGAAGGGCCCACGAACCGCGCAGGCAGGGCCTGGCACCGTGGACACCACACCGGGAGCAGGATGGAGCCCCATGAACTGTGTGCTCTTGGAAGGGGAGGAAGTGAGCCGGAAGTCGATGCAGAACACCATGACTGTCCCTGTTTACTCACTGAGCCCGGAGGGGAAGGGCCCCAGCCCATGAGCTGAGGAGTGGGGGGACAAACACTCAGGAGACTGGCCGGAGAGAGGGCACAGCACGCGGCTGACAGCTCCATCCTCAGCACAACCAGGAATGACCCCAGCACCCCCACACGGGGGGCACGCAGGAAACGCCGCGGCAGGGACAGACCACAGAGCTGTGCTGGAAGGAGCCACCTGCAAGCTGCGCTTGTCATGAAGGGTCCACGAGAGGGAATCAGAGACAGGACGCGGGTCAGAGAGCACCTCGGGGCGATGGGAGCACTGGGAGCGGGTCATGATCCCTGCAGGGCTTCTCCGGGGAGGGACAAGGGTCTCTCACTGGTGGTGTCTGGGGCCCCGTGGCCAGGGTGTGGGCAGGCAGCGCTGGGGGTTCCAGGCCTAGGAGGTCGTGCTGGGGGTGGGACTCGGGGCCTCGGGCCGGGGAGGCAGCACTCCAGCCTCTCTGAGATCTCCCTGGGGCATGTTCACGATGATAAAAGGCTACGACTGATGGGAGCGGCGAGGCCCCCTCCATAAATACACCGACAACACTAAATCGTGTGCTTTAAATGGGCAAACCGTGTGGCATTTGAATTATATTTCAATAAAACTGTTCCAGGAAAAAAGAATACCAAGCTCATGTTTGGGAAGTCAGAGGCTCGGCGGGGCAGGCTGGGAGCTGAGCTGAGACTGTTTCCCCCGCATGGGCTCTGGGGGCCACGGTCGGTGTGGACGGAGGGCCACACACACCTGCCTCTCCAGCGATCGTCCCCACCCCCACCCGACCACACGCCTTCCGGGTCACATTTCCAAATGAAAGCTTACAAACCTCAGCGATTTGGGGCTGACTTCTATTGCCTCTCTGAAGAATGAAGTGTTGACGGTTGGGAGTATGCCAGGGGTCACGGCGGGTCCCGGTGCCCGGGAAACAGAGGCGGCTGGGCGGGGGCCGAGCTGCCCGCCACATCTGAGGGCCCAGTCACGCAGGGGTAGCCAGAGAACCGAGATGACAGAGCCTGGCCCCCCACTGAGTGACGCCCCCCAGAGGGGAGTCCAGAGAAGCTGACTCGGGACATAAAGACCGGACACTGTGAGGGCCAGGGAGGAAGGTGGGATGGGGTAGGGGGAGAAGGGATGGGCAGCCCGAGGGTGTGTTCTCCAGCAGGCTTCGGGGAGGCAGCCGAGGGGTACTGCCAGCCGCCCCCCTGTGTGGGGGCCTGAGCGAACACCCTGCCCCAGCCTGTCCTTCCCGCCAGACGTCCCAGCCTCCCCCAGCGGCTGTGCTCTGGCCGGCCCCCTGCCCTGTCTCCCCGGGACTCTGCTCCCTGCGGCCTCCGCCCCAGCAGTGCTTCTCAGCTACTCACGTCTGGCACAGCCGGTGCCCCTGGGTCTGCCAGCAGAGTCTGAACCGGAACCACGTGGCACTGCCCTCCCCGCTTCAGATGCTCTCGGAAGGTGCAGGCCTCAGACTGCCTCCCCGACAAAGCATCCCCACCTGGAAGGGGGGCTCACACATCTCTCTTCTCTGGCCCTCCCTCCTCTGAATCTCCCTCCCCTCTCTCTAGCCCCTCCTTCTCTCTCTCTCTTCCTCTCCCCCCCCCCCCCCGTTTCTCCCTCCCTCTCTCTCTTCCCTTTTCTCTCCTCCCTCTCCCTCCCCTCTCCCTCCTCCTTCCCCTCCCTCTCTCCCCCTAGCCTTGGTCCTGCTCATCCTCCCTGCTGTCTACCTGCCACCATCTGAAACACGCACATGTGACCCACAGCCACATGCACACACGTGCACACAGATGCACACACAGGCCCATGCTGTGGTGTGTCGCGGCCGCAGACTCTGGTTCACGCTCATCTCGTCTCCCTCTGCTCACGGACCTCTCACTCAGAATGAGCCCTTCACTCGGACACCTCCTCCTGGAAGCCTCTGCTGCGCCCAGCCTGTGCGGTCAGAGGAGGCCTGCCCTTGGCTTTCCGCTCAGCCGTGCCTGCCCCCTCACCTAGCACGTCGCGGTCAGCCCTGCCCTGCCCTCTGAGAGAGTCTATGCCAAGCTCCTCGTTCGTCCTTAAAAAATACTCACCGACCTTTGCAATGTGGTCCTGAAGAAGCGGGGGTCCCCCACCCCACCCCTGGCGCAGGAGCGGGGAGACCTCGGGAGTGAGCAAGACAGTACTGCGGGCCACAGCCCAGCCCTCACAAGCCCCATGCAGGGGCGCGAGACCGTCCAAGCGGAGTCCAGAGCAGCGCCCACAGTAGGGATAGACGGAGTGACCGGCAGACAGACACACTGCTGCTGTCGGACAGAAGGACAAGCCACAGGAGAACCCCATGCACAGAGGGTGGGATCTAAGGTACAGAGAGAACCCCACAGTCGCCAAGATGAGACCCTCTACTTTCCCAGATAGGCAGGAGAGCCATGGACACTCAAGCCAAGGAGTGGACCAGGCGGCGACAAGCTGGGCACAGGGCGCCATGTCCACGGTCCTCGGGACCCATGGCGATGCCCAGCCGCCAGCCAGGACACCCAATGTCCCCAGGACGAAGGCAGAGAGGCGGGTGGAGCTGGCCCAGGCTCACGGCTGAGTGGGAAACAAGATGAGCTGGACAAGAGCTGGACAAGAGTCCCCGGACTCTGCCCTCAAGCAAGCAAACGGCGACTGTATGTCAGTGTTCCTCCTCCAGGCTCGGGGAGATCACAGAGTCCCCGGGAAGCCGAGTCAGTCACGTGGCCGTGAGGGTGGCAGCGGTGTCCCCAGCACACGCATGACCCCCTGACCCGTTTATTCGGAAACCTGTGTGGCTTCTTGATGGGGAACTGCTATCCACCAAAATACCTTCCATGGCGGGCAGTGGGGAGGTGGAATCATGATTCTTCTGACTTCCTCCTCTCCTCCCCTAGAAGCAGAGCCCCGGAAACTGTGCTTTATACGATCTCTCACTCCCCCTTCCTCCCCGCCACAGCCACCAGGGGCTGGAGGCCGTGCCGCCTCACTCACGGGTCCTGAGCCCCGTCCAGGGTCCTGAAGCCCGTGTCAGCCTGCGATGGGCCTTGCTCCCGCCTTGGGCTCTGACATGGAGGCCAGGAGGCGAGTCCGCCCTTCACCCTGCCCTCCTCCCAGCTCTTCCACCCCCCCCCACTGTCAGGGCGCCCCGCCCCTCTGCACGAAGCCTTTGTCTTCCACACCCCGCCCCCGCCCCCCGCCCTGACGCTGGTTCTCTGCCAGCCAGCAGCCCCTGGCAGGGAACCCTGGAACCCCCAGCCGCATCTCTGCCGCTTCCACTTGCCAGATCTTTATTCTGGAGAGTGAGTTAGAGGCACGCGTGGAGGTGCTCGGGAGTCAGTGCTCGGGGGACAGGGCGCCCGAAGCTTCTACACGCCAAGGCTAGCCCGCACCATTCCCAGGCGCCCGACACTCTCAGAGAGGTGACCAACCCCCTGCCCGGGCAGCTCTGTTCCCTGCCGCCCACCCACCTCTCCCCAGGGGTGTCCCTCCGCCAATCCTGCTCCCTTCCCCTCCCTCGTCTCTCCTTCCCCACGGCAGGGATGCCTCCACTGCTCCCCACGACCTGCCCCGTGTCTCCTCCCTCACCTCCCACCCGGGCCCCTGAGCCCGGCGGTCCCGTGGGACTCACCAGAGTGGGCCACTCTGCCATCTGCTCCCAGGGGCCTCTCACGGGCAGCCCCTGCTTTCCTGCCCATCTCCAAAGTCCCCTGAGATCTTGCCTGTTCTGGGTGAAACGGGGCTGGTCCTGAGGTCACCACGGCTGGGGGCCAGGGGAGGAGCAAACCCACGAAGCACCACATCACGGAGAGAACGCCGCCCTGGTGCCCCTGCTGCCCCGGCCCCACAACAATGGGTGGCACCAGCCGGGCAGACCTGCCCTCTCCAAACAAACCCCACCCCACCCCCAGCTGATGCCCTTGCTTGGGCCCGCCTCCCCTTCCAGTATCCCTCATGAGCCACACCCCAGGCACGCTGGAAGGAAGTGGGTGCACTTTCACAAGGTCCCGAGCAGGCCAAGGGGCCACCTCACAGGGTGGGTGACAAAGGCAGTGACGCTGGAGAACCTCCACTGCCGGCCCC